GCCGGGACGCGTGGTGCGAGGGGGGGGGGGGGGGGAAGACAGGGCCTGAGGCCCATCAGATTGTCTCAGCTTCTCCGCTAAGGCCACAAGCCGGGGGCACGGGGGACATCAAGACTAAGCACATGCTCCAGAAGTCCCCGCGGACCTGCCCCCTTCCCAGCCCCACACAGGCCAGCCCCAAGGCCTGCAGGGATTAGAGCCAGAGGGGCCCATGGCTGGCGCCCCCCCACTCAGCTGAGGAACAGATAGGCACGGGGGGAGGGGGGCACTGGGGTGTCCTCAGCCTCCTCCTCCTCCTCGAAGAGCTGTCCCTCCAGGTAGGAGCCGCCCAGGCCGTACTCCTGCTCGTGCACCGACACCTCGTTGGGGGTTAGGTGGGAGGCACCGCCCACAAAGTCCGCAAACCTGGAACCAGTGGAGAGGTGCCATGAGCACAGCCCCACTTTACAGATGGGGAAAACTGAGGCACAGAGGAGCTTTGCGGTCAGAGGGAAATAGTGTGGCCTAGTGGGCACAGCTGTGGCTGGGACCCCCTTCTCATCTGGGCCAGAGGCACCTCAGACGTATCCTAGCCCCTCCCACACCTGTTTCCCCAGCTGCGAAATGGGGCTAATGCAGCCCTTGCTCCCGAAGTGCTGGGAGATCAAGCAACCCAAGCACTCACCAGGAGCTGGGGGGGCACCTCCATGGAAGGGAAGGGGGTACAACTGGCACGTGGTGGTGGGGGTGGGGGGTACCTCTTTGGGGACTGGATGCGGGAGACAACGGTCCACGCAGAGAAGTCGGGGCTGTTGCAGTAGCTGCGCAGCTCCTCCAGGGCCCGGCGCGTCTCAGCCTCACCCTGAGCCCGGTATTCCTCCTCTGTCAGCAGGCGCGGTGGGCTGGGCTTGGTCGCGGCTCTCCGTGCCATCCTGCCGACACATGCCACACTCAGCCCCTGCCTGGGATGATCTGCGGGGGGAGGGTCCTCCCAGCCCTGCATCCCCTCTCCGTTCCCCTCTCTCTGGCTTTGCTCTGCGTGGTATGTGGTTGCCAGCTCTGGGACCCCCCACCCCAGTTGGGACCAGCCACGAGGTGGGGAAAGGCAGTGGCTGGCTCCACCTAGCGGCCTGCCTCAGATCACCTGAGCATCTGGAGAAGCTCAGAGCTCATGCTCGGGTCTCACGGGCACCTGCCCCCCCCCGGCTGGAAGCCAGGGGTCATGGACACATGCCAGGGCCCAGGCATGGCACAGGGGTTGCAATTTGTGCAGCATGACCCTTCGCCCCATGCCCCACCTTACCGGTAGGCGGCATAGCCCCACTGCAGCGGGTACTCCAGGTACTTGGTGCCCACAGCGGTGGCTACGAAGGCCAGGGCCATGGGGCGGATCTGGATGCCTGCATACATAAGCAGCAGCCCCAGGAGCTGCAGGGCCCAGGCCAGGAGGCGGATGCTGCGCTCGTCCTCCAGCGGCCCATAGCGGTAGCACACAGCGAAGCTGCCCAAGCCCACCAGCAGCAGGTAGCCTGCGGGCATGAGGTGTGCGAGTGTCAGCGGGGGCTATACTGTGGGCCACGGAGTGGCACAGACACCCCCAGCCCCCACCAGGCAGGGAACACGCCGCTCCCCAGGCTCTGACCGCATGCGATCACATACAAGATAGGGCTTGGAGATCCTTGCATGCCCCAGCCCCTGACAGCACGGGTCTGTCCACCTGACCCCTCCCTTCGCCCCTGCCCCAGGGGGCACTCACCCAGGCCGTACTGCCAGTAGCCCCTGCCGATTTCCCGCAGATTCTTGAAGACCAGCTGAATGAGGTAGAGCGAGAAGGACCAGCCGCCCACGAGCAGGAGGTAAATGGGGCTTTTCTAGGGCACAGCAGATGGGAGGATGAGATGTGCAGGGAGCTCTGATGCCCGCCGCCCCAAGCTGGGCACCTGCGAGGGCAGCCCCGGCCCCTGCGCCACGCTCTCACCTTTGGCATCACCCGTGACACCACGTAGATGAGGATGAGGAGGGAGGCCAGCAGGCCCACGCTGATCCCGGCCGAGTAGTAGAAGAGCTGGCTCCTGCCGAGATCGGACACACCAGGCAGTTATCAGGTAGCAGCAGCTTCATGCCCACAAAGGAGCTCCTTGGGGGGAAGGTGCTGGGGAGATGCCCTGGGCCCGTACCACGGAGTTTGGGACTGGGCCAGTGCACCGAGCCCTGGATCCCCAAGGACTCTGGTCTTACCCAGCTGCCTCGAGACCATCCCGGCCTGAGTGCAGCTGCGGGGTGCATGGGGCATTTGCAGGGCAACGCTCTCCAACCACCCCCGACTCGACCATGTGTGGGGAGGAAAACAGACCCACCTGCTCAGCACGTCCCCGCAGAAGAACAGCAGCAGCCCCAGGAAGAAAACTAGGAAGAGCTTGGGGTCGAACCCTGGAGGAGACAAGTGCCCCCACCCCAGTCAGGGCAATGACAGGGCATCACCCTGGCACACCCCCCCTCCCAATGTCCATTGAGGAGACCCAGGAAAGCTAGACCCTGAATGCAGGGGGTGTGAGGCCCTGCTAGATGCACGACCCTAGAGGGCACCTTGCCCACCACAGCCCCTTCCCCAGCAGGCTGGGCACTGCAAGGCTTCAGGCCCACTTCTGCCCCCTGCAACCACCCCCCTGCCAGCCAGAGACCCAGGGGCAGCTTCAGCTTTTGGGCAAACTGCCTTCCACACAGGGGCCGTGCTCTGCTACAGAGGAAGGCAAACGAACCCCCACGCCCAGCCTGTACCAGTCTGACCAGAGGGGAAATCCCTTCCTGATCCAGCGTAGCATCAGGCTGAGCCATGGGCTGCAGCAGCACCCAGCGCTTCTGGGGGAGGCTTACAAACACCCTGACATGTAACAGAAAGGAGAGGGGGCAACCAGCAAGCCACCTGACTGGTCACCCCCATTCCCCACTGGGGCTGTGGGGAGCTGCTTCTAACCCCTCCCCCCACGGCTGAGCCAGGGGCTGGAGGCGATGGGGCCGCAGAGGTTGCGGCTGCTCCTGGGGGCAGGGGGCACGTACAGCGCAGCACGATGACACTGTAGGTGGTGTCTGGCTCGGGCAGCTCCACACGCAGGCAGGTCTGGGGGCTGTAGAGGTCCAGGCCGATGTAGGTGTCATTTATCTTCTCCTTGAAGAGGGAGGAGAGCAGGTTCCAGATGCTGAATTGCTCCAGCTCCTGCAGGTCTGCCTCGCTGTCCGCCTGTGTCACCCGCAGTGTCCTGGTGCTGTTGACACGGATCTGGGTGGGGAAGAAATCAGTCAGCAGAGTGGGGGGACATCAGGGTGTCCCTGGGCAACCATGGGGTGGGGCCTGGGGCACTGTAGGCCGTTCTGCCGAGGCTCCGAGCACAGCCCATGGCAGGGGCCCCCCTGAGCTGGGACCAAAGGGTCAGGGCTTTGCCCCAGAGACCCCCTTTGCTCTGATCCTGAGGCACTGTCCAGACCTAGAACAGAGGCCTGAGATGAGCCTCAGGGGGAAAAATTCACTGATTCGAGGTTGCCCAAGTTGGGTCTGGCAGCTCCGAGACTTCAGTGCAGATGGGGCATGAATCCCAGCAGCACCCGGGGCAGCAACCCCCGGAGAAGAGAACACAGGTGTCCGGGCTTGCTGCCTGCAGCTCTAGGGTGCACGGAGTCCCCCTCACTACTGCTAGCCAGGGAGCCGGAGGAGGCAAAACGGCAAGCGATGGAGGGCTCAAGGGTCCCGAGCCAGCTACCGAGGCCTCGCTGTGGTGCCAGCCGTGGGGCAGGGAGAAGCCAGGCCACAGCCCCCAGGCGGTACCTGCATGCGGGTCCAGATGTCGCGCCAGGTGGGGGGCAGTACATTGTTGAAGCAGAACTGGCGAGAGACGTTGTTGTGGTGGGGGCGGCCTTCCTGCAGCGGGATCACGGCCCCCGGCGCGGCTGCTGCCCGAGGGAGAGGGAGGTTAGCGGGGACAGCAGACCCACAGGCCCCTGCGTGGCACCGGGCCCAGGTTTGCACTGAACCCCAGTAGCTTTTCCTCGCATCCCCTGGCTGCAGCTCCAAGCACCCCCACGCAGGGGGAGCCCCCCCCCGTTGCCCCTGCTCAGGTCCAGAGCCAGACCCCAGCTAATCACCCTGCTGCAGGGAGCCGCGGGGGAGCAGGGAGCGCTGATCACTTAGAGCCACTAACGAGGGAGCCTCACGCTACTGCAGCCTCATCCCTCGTTAGCCCTCCACCCCTCATCAGGCAGCACGACACCCCCCTCCCTGGGTGGGGAGGAGCACAGCTCCCCGGGGCCCCCCCGCAGTGCTGGAGCCGCGGCGCGTGGGTGTCTGAGCAGCGCTGCGTGACCGTCGCCGCGGCTCCCCGCTGCGGGGGGCTTGGGGACCGGGGAGCGAGCCCCCTATGAGGAGGAAAACAACTCCAGGGGGCCGTGGCGGCGAGAGGGCTCCATGCTGCGGGCGCCAGTGCACATGGAGGCCTGTCCCCAGCGGCCCTGGGCAGGCGGAGGAGGCTCCGCGGGGTCTCCGCTGCCTTGGGGATGGGGGCAGGCGGAGAGCGGGCAGGCTGGAGGCGCCCGTCCAGCCCCCAGCCCAGACAGGTGCGGGCCTGGAGAAGATCCCTCTGGAGAGGCCTCCCCCCTGTCCTGCCCTGCGCGGGTGCTGGAGAGCTGGCAGGGGCCACAGGGCAGGCTGGGCACGTGCCCCCCCGCCCGGCCCTGGCAGCGTTGGGGCCCCCAGACCACTTGGGAGCT